TGCAGAAATATACAGTCAGCAAATGGAATGTTTAAATCAAGCCCTTCATCAGAAACGCCTTTCACTTGTCAACTAAAAAGGTGTTCTTTTCCAGGACAATGCAAGTCCACATGTGACACGTTTGACGCAACACAATATTATGAAGTTGGGTTGGGAAGTTCTCCCCCCCCCCCATTTTCTTTAGATATGGTACCATCAGATTACCATCTTTTTCGTTCACTGCAACACCATCTTAATGGGAAAACGTATGCAAATGTGCAAGGTGTTAAAGAGAACATCGACATGTTTTTGTGCTTCAAAGCCAAGTGCTTTCTTTCATCAGGGCAATAACAACCTGATTGTTAGATGGAAAAGCATCATAGATAAGAATGGAGACTATTTCATTCAAAAAATGTTTCGTTGTATAAGTTGTTCGGGGTTTTTCATCTAAGAAAAAGCGACATTAATTTCTTGACGACCTAAGATACTTCCAATGATGATGATACCAAAGACTATCCATGTACGTCTACTCATTCCCTGTATTTTGTTTTTCTGGCATCACTTCTAATACATGGTGTTGCTATCAACTTACTTGTGTATGTTACTTCAATATTCTATAAGTAGATGTGCTGAAATTGATACACGGGATTTTCACGCGAGTTTCTATTCTTCTTTGGCTATCTATTTACTTCTAGTATCCAGTCAATTATACACTATTTACTGCTAGACTACAGCCATTGGTTCACTATTTACTTGTAGTCTCCAACGATTGATACACTAGATACGTCTAGAATACAGCCATTTATACACTATTTACATGTAGTATCCAGCCATTTATACACTATTTACTTGTAGTATCCAGCCATTTATACACTATTTACATGTAGTATCTAGCCAATTATTCACTATTTACATGTAGTATCCAGCCAATTATTCACTATTTACATGTAGTATCCAGCCAATTATACACTATTTACCTGTAGTCTCTAGTCATTGATACACTATTTACATGTAGTATCCAGCCATTTATACACTATTTACATGTAGTATCCAGCCATTTATACATTATTTACTTGTAGTATCCAGCAATTTATCCACTATTTACTTGTAGACTCTAACCATTAATATACTATTTACTTGTAGTATCCAGGCATTGATACACTATTTACTTGTAGTATCCAGCCATTGATACACTAATTACATGTAGTATCCAGTCACTGATACACTAATTACATGTAGTATTTAGCCAGTGATACTCTAATTACATGTAGTGTCCAGTCATTGATACACTAATTACATGTAGTATTTAGCCATTGATACTCTAATTACATGTAGTATCCAGGCATTGATACACTAGTTACATGTAGTATCCAGCCATTGATACACTATTTACTTGTAGTATCCAGCCATATATACACTGTTTACTTGTAATATCCAGCAATTGATATATTATTTACTTGTAGTATCCAGTCATTGATGCACTAATTACATGTAGTATTTAGCCATTGATACTCTAATTACATGTAGTGTCCAGTCATTAACACACTAATTACATGTAGTATCCAGCCATTAATACATTATTTACTTGTAGTCTCCAGCCATTGATACACAATTTACATGTAGAATCCAGCCAATTATACACTATTTACATGCAGTATCCAGCCAATTATACACTATTTACTTGTAGTATCCAGCCATTGATACACTATTTACTCATTTTATCCAGCCATTGATACACAATTTACTTGTAGTATCCAGCCATTGATACACTATTTACTCATTTTATCCAGCCATTGATACACAATTTACTTGTAGTATCCAGCCATTGATACACTATTTACATGTAATATCCAGCATTTTTATACACTATTTACTTGTAGTATCCAGCCATATATACACTGTTTACTTGTAATATCCAGCCATTGATACACAATTTACTTGTAGTATCCAGCCATTGATACACTATCTAATTGTAGTTTCCAGCCATTGATACACAATTTACATGTAGAATCCAGCCATTGATACAGTATTTACATGTAGTATCCAGCCATTGATACAGTATTTACTTGTAGTCTCCAGCCATTGATACACTATTTACTTGTAGTATCCAGCCATTGATACACTATCTAATTGTAGTTTCCAGCCATTGATACACAATTTACATGTAGAATCCAGCCATTGATACAGTATTTACATGTAGTATCCAGCCAATTATACACAATTTACATGTAGAATCCAGCCATTGATACAGTATTTACATGTAGTATCCAGCCAATTATACACTATTTACATGTAGAATCCAGCCATTGATACAGTATTTACCTGTATCAATGGCTGGATACTACAAATAAATGGCTGGATACTACAAATAAATAGTGTATAAATGGCTGGATACTACAAGTAAATAATGTATCAATGGCTGGATACTACATATAAATAGTGTATAAATGGGTGGATACTGCATGTAATTAGTGTATCAATGGCTGGATACTACAGGAAAATAGTGTATCAATGGCTGGATACTACATGTAAATACACACTATTTACATGTAGTATCCAGCCGTTGATACACTATTTACATGTAGTATCCAGCCATTGATACATTATTTACTTGTAGTATCCAGCCATTTATACACTATTTATTTGTAGTATCCAGCCATTTATACATTATTTACATGTAGTATCCAGCCGTTGATACACTATTTACATGTAGTGTCCAGCCATTTATGCACTATTTATTGTAGTATCCAGCCATTTCTACACTATTTACATGTAGTATCCAGCCGTTGATACACTGTTTACATGTAGTATCCAGCCATTTATACACTATTTATTGTAGTATACAGCCATTTATACACTATTTACGTGTAGCATCCAGCCATTTATACACTATTTACATGTAGTATCCAGCCATTGATACACTATTTACATGTGGTATCCAGCCACTTATACACTATTTACTTGTAGTCTCCGGTCATTTATACATTATTTACTTGTAGTATCTAGCCATTGATAGATTATTTACTTGTAGTATCTAGCCATTGATAGATTATTTACTTGTAGTGTCCAGCCATTGACACACTATCTACAAGGAGTATTCAGCCATTGATACACTATTTACTTGTAGTATCCACCCATTGATACACTATTCATTGTAATATACAGCCATTTATACACTATTTACTTGTAGTCTCTAGGCATTGTTACATTATTTACTTGTAGTGTCCAGCCTTTGACACATTATCTACAAGGAGTATTCAGCCATTGATACATTATTTACTTGTAGTCTCCAGCCATTGATACACTATTTACTTGTAGTCTCTAGCCTTATCCTTGCGTTGCTTAGGAAGCTTGAATGTTTCTACAGCCTTATTGGCAAACGTTCTTGCTCTAAGAAAGTATGAATGCCCAATCAGATCACTCACCATCTTTTCTTATGGTTAGACTGTTTCCTTTAGAGAGCGACTAAATTTAGCTAAAACAGTGGATATGTTTCTTTGAAAAAGCTAGTAAACGTAGCTCAAACAACGAATATGTTTTCAATAAATTCACAATTTGTCGCTTTAAAACATGTTAAATTTAATGGGTGAAATTTGTAATGTTTCTTTTTCATTTATTTACTTTTTAAAACACTAAATTCCTTTAAACTGATCGATTGTTAATTGTATCGTATTTTTATTAACAATTTTCCCAGGGTGTTGTTTGTGTCCTGTAGTGTTGCATCTGTTCTGTATATTTAGGATATTTACTTCTTATTGTCTGAACGATTATTTTACATCGAAAACAGATCTTTTAGTTAGATAAGCTTTAAACACAGGTTTGGTAAGTTTCAAAAATATTTTTTAATTGTGTACTACCTCTCTTCCCCAGTGGATCAGAGATAAGTTTATGGATTTGCAACGCTTAAATTTGGGATTCATTTCTCCGCGGTGGACACAGCAGATAGCCCAGTTTTTAGGATTACCTAGAAACACACAAATTCATTATAATATATGTAAACTTTGGGAGCTTTTACGACGATGTTCAAATTATGTTCATATCAAAATTCTTAACCACCCTTTTCTCGTTTACATCGTGATAATTAACTGGTATATTTTACCTATATATCAGGATCAGGTATTTTTACGTCCTAGGTAATTAACTGGTATATTTTACCTATATATCAGGATCAGGTATTTTTACGTCCTAGGTAATTAACTGGTTTATTTTTTCTATATATTAATATCACTAAGGTTTCTATATGTTTCGTGTATATAATGTTCACTTGCTGTCAACACATAAGTATCTTTTCCTTTGTGTCTTAAGCAATTGTCGTTTTTTATCTCTTGCTATATTCTGAATTTGTTCGTTTATACAGTGGCGGAGCATGCTGTTACGGTGGACATCTTCGAATACTGGATGGAAACGACCAAGAACGTATGGAATACGGATTTGAAAAATCAGTGCGTAATCTGAATCAGCTCAACAAACGCAGTCTTCCCGCTTCTGAAGAGGAATGGTCAGGATCTGGTTATTTCTGTGGACAGATGATTGGTCAGAGCGTGAACTACTTTTCTAGAGGAAACAATGTCACTTTAGTCATTTCTCTTCCCAGCAGAACTTCTTGGCGCCCACAGTCGTTTAGTTTGTATTTAATCTACAGGTTTGTGACTCGTGACACCGAGACTGGCCAGGACTCTCGTTATTTTGGTAATAAAGAAGCAGCGACGTTTTGCAGCAGACAGTACAAAAACTGTGTTAGAAAAAAATGTCTGATTCGTTCCCCCAACTTTCCTGGGACGTACCCCCGAAATATTACATGTAATTATTTGATAAAAGAAGATAATGTGGTTGCAGGGTTTCAGAACCAGATAATTCTTTCTCAGAAAAATGTATATAAAATTTCAATAGAAAGCGGACTTCCGAGGACTGGTGCCATCTCGCGTTGGTCTTTGACATCAAAGTGTCCTCATGATGTAGTTCGTGTTTTCGATGGCCCGACAGTAGATTTTCCGGTAATCGCACAGTTCTGTGGTTCTGGGCCATTGGCGGCCATCGTTTCTAGCAGGGGAACACTTCTTGTACAGTTGCATAGCGTAGACTATCATAGACTTCAGGAATCTCGGCTGGAAATAGAGATCGGTGTCAAAGCAGTTCCCAAGCCCTTGTGGCGAATGTCAAATAACGAGTGTAAGTTCTTCATTGACGGAAGGGTCTCTGGTAAACGTCAAGGGATTCTGAAAAGCCCTCAACACACTGTACCATCAAATACTACATGTACGTATGTACTGCGTGGGAGGTCGTCGTACGATCGAGTGTGGATTTATTTTATCTCCTACTTCATCACAGACAGACATCCTTGGCCCGTGGCTTCAGAGTTCTGTGATACTGGAAAGATAGAGGTGATTGGTGCGTCATCTGTCGGTTCCGTGAATACAACTTACTGTGAAAAGAATCCACCACCTCTCTGTGCGCGTGCGTCAGATGGAGTAAATATGATCCCTCTTCGTCCATGTCGTTATCCGGAAGAAAGTATGTTATCATCGCATTCCCACTTGCTGATGAAAATACACTACCCGTGCACGGCTGAGTTCACTACGGATCAACCCGCTTTGAAGGCTCGTTATGAGTTTATTGACACACACCAGCCAGGAAGTCCAGTTGGGCGGTCACTCTGTGGTCGCTATATTGATGGCCAGATCTTTCGATACGGATATTTATCTTCCTCTAAAAATGTGTTTCATTTTGGTCGAGGAGGACGTAGACATATCACTTGTTCTTACACCCTTGTGGGATCCAAATTCTCCAGAATTATTATTTCCATGTCGAGAGTATTTATGCTTTCTCCTTCGTGTCAGACGGTTGTGGATAGTTCAACTTCACGGCCAACGTGCAAGGAATTTCATCCACACACTCAGCTAAAGGCTTATCTTAAAGTTACAGAAAACTGGTCTGGTGTGGACTTTTCAATTGGATGCTTCTGTAACACCACAACAGATACAAATGCTTCCATTGAAATATCGTCAGCTAGTAACAACGTAACCATAACTTTTACTGTCACGGGTATGGGCGCGTTACACGACTTCAACCATTTTCACTTTGAAGCATTTTATCGTTTTATTCACTTCAACATTTGTGAGTCTGCCTTAATTCGTCGTGTTGGTTCGAGAGTGGAACTCCTGTTTCAAGTTTCTCATATCCTTCCTGGTGGATTCCGATGCAGGTGGTCCATAGAGCCCTCCTACAGTAAAAACCTATACTTAACCTTTCAAGGTACGAATGCTTCGAATGGGTGTCACCATGGTAACGTTTTAATAACGTACAAGAGGAACAGCGAAACGCGTATTGCCACGGTTTGTGTAAACGGATCTGCCGAAGAGTTTTCTATTGACCCGTGGCACAATCAGAGGTCAACCGATGAAACCACCAGGCCCAGTAGAGACAAAATCTTTCTAGAAGCGTTTATTAATTACCCTCAATCAATTCGTGTAGAATGGTTCGAAATGAAGAAACATTCTTTGAAGACCCACTCTGGTCAATCATTAAGAAACATCAATTGTTTGGTAAGGTGTCCGGAAATCAACGCTTGCATCAGTCCTGACCTCTGGTGTGATGGGACGAAACACTGTCCATCGGGGTACGATGAATCATCCGAGCATTGTAGACAATTTCCCGTATTTTACTTTGCTGCAGGGGGTAGTGCCACTTGTTTTCTTCTTATTTTGTTGATTGGCTACGTGCTCATTCGTTGTCGTCATCGTGGCAGAAACAACCATATCATCCGGGTTCCTACGTTCGACGTGTTTGAACTTGAAGGACGTCGCGGCGACATACCTGACAGATTTTCGCGTTAATAGTTACGTAATTATTAATTACTTATTTATTGAAGTTTCTCATTTGTTGAAAAGTATAACAATTGTCACATTATACAAAAGTAAGATTGAAATGGAAGTCGGTAAAAGTATGTAATGATATACCATCAAAAACTCTCTCTCTCTAAAATGTTTTGAAAAATAATGTTAAAATTTCGTAAATTTTGGATGTATTAAAATGGCAGTCTCAAAACTTGGGTCAAGTTGAAGTTTTTCAAAGTAAAATCTTCATTCTTTTAAAAAATGAACAATAAGAGTTTTTATCAAGATCATAAATTTTGTATGTTTTGTTGTTAGTAACATCCTAGATCTTGCAGCGTTAACATTAATAAATCAAAACCTATCTTACTGAGATCCAGTGTTAGCATTACTCAATCAAAATCTGTCTTACTAAGATCCAGTGTTTGCATTACCAAATCAAAACCTGTCCTACTAAGATCCAGCGTTAGCATTTCCAAATAAAAACCTGTCTTACTAGATCCAGCGTTAACATTTCCAGATTAAAACCTGTTTTACTAGGATTAATGTTAACATTACCAAATCAAAACCTGTCCTACTAGGATTAATGTTAACATTACCAAATCAAAACCTGCCTTACTAGGATTAATGTTAACATTACCAAATCAAAACCTGTCCTACTAAGATCCAGCGTTAGCATTTCCAAATAAAAACCTGTCTTACTAGATCCAGCGTTAACATTTCCAGATTAAAACCTGTCTTACTAGGATTAATGTTAACATTACCAAATCAAAAACTGCCGTACTAAATAATATCCAGTGTTTACGTTACCAAACCAAAACCCGTTTTACTAAGATCCAGTGTTAACATTACTAAATCAAACCCTGTCTTACTAAGATCCAGTATTAGCATTACTAAATCAAAACCCGTCTTACTAAGATCCAGTGTTAATATTACCAAATCAAAACCTGTCTTACTAAGATTCAGCGTTAGCATTACCAAATTGAAACCCGTCTTTCTAAGATCAGTGTTAACATTACCAAATCAAAACCCGTCCTACTAAGATCCAGTGTTAGCACTATCAAATCAAAACCCGTTTTACAAAGATCCAGTGTTAGCACTATCAAATCAAAACCTGCCTTACTAAGATCCAAGGTTAGCATTACCAAATTTAAACCCGTCTGACTAAGGATACCAAGATGTGTCCCGAAAAATGTTCGGACCTAGTACGTTAAGCTCCGAAGTTCGATTCCTCGTGGTGGAGAGAGTGCAGGTAACCCATCGTGTGGTTTTGTACGAAGAAAAACGTAACAATTCTGCAAGGTAATTGTGCCGAGAGTGGCCTAATGTTTAACGTGTCGGACTGTGGACCTGCGGTTTGTGGTTCGCCGCCCTTTACCGAAAAAAGAAATACTTCGGGTAGTGGGGGCGTTAGAGGAATCACAGTGAATCCCACTATTCGGGCTGAAAAGAATAGCTCAATGGATGACCTGATGTCCTGAATAATTGTGTCCGAAAAATATATCAAAATGTCTTTGTTTTTGTAATAATAGATAATTGTGTTTTAAATGGTGTTTTATTAATCAAATATCAAATGACGTATTAGTAAACTAATTAATATTCTAGGCATCTAAGACTTAAAAATAAAATTTATTATGCTCTGACGAACGTTAATCAGTATTACATACTGATAAGATGAATTTAAATCAAGCTCTTATAATTTGTTCATTAATAGTTAATTTTCTTCTGTTTGTTAAAACGTTTTTAAAGATGGTGAATAAAACGCTATTATATATATTGTTGTCTGCTCTAAAGCTATTAAACATTCTTTAGTTACCATGACATTTTGTCCAACGAGTGAACATCTACGTAATCTCCGTCTTATGAAAATAAGCATCTCGTTAACTTTCATGTTTGTAATTAATTAACAGTTCAGTCAGATCTGCTTGTTAACTTTCGTTTTTCGTGTTTGTAATAATTAAAACAGTTCATTTGGATCTGCTCGTTAATTTTCATCTTTTCATGTTTCTAATTAATTGAAACAATTCATCTGAATCTGCTCGTTAGCTTTCATGTTTCTAATTAATTGAAACAATTAATTTGAATCTGGTCAGTAACTTTCATGTTTTAATGTTTGTAATTAATTAAAACACTTCAGTTGGATCTGCTCGTTAACTTTCATTTTCCATGTTTATAATTAATTATTACAGTTCAATTGGACCTGTTCGTTAACTTTTATGTTTTCATGTTTGTAAGTAATTGAAACAATTCATTTGGATCTGCTCATTTACTTTTATGTTTTCATGTTTGTAATTAATTAAAACAGTTCAGTTGGATCTGCAATCAGTTTTCAAAAGCTTACGGAGTTCAAACAAACATAAAACACCGTAGCTTTGTTTACCGAAATATACTGAACTATCAGTTATTATGAGAGACAAGTAGTTTGATTTTAAATACTCCAGTATAACTTCGTTTAAGGTCATGATATTGGATAATGCTCTTGCCACGAAAAATGTTTTCCAGTGGCTCAACGGTAAATCTGAAGGCTTATAACAAACAAACCAAAATATTTTTTTTATTTCTGAGGTCCTATAAAAGAAAAGTTTCTTATAGTTCAGTTGTTGAAACGAAGTTTTTATTCTGATTTTACACTACTGTTAAAACTTAGTTATTCCCCAAGTCATACACTGTTGTTACAGCATCGTTTTTCCCGAAGTAAATAGACAATTGTTACACCATTGTTATTCCTCAATTTCATATACTGTTATTACAGCACAGTTATTCTCAATCAAAATAGACTGTTGTTACGGCATCGTTATTCCCCAAGTCATACACTATTGTTAGAGTACCATTATTTCTCACGTAAATTTACTGTTGTTAAAGTATTGTTATTCGCCAAGTCCCACACTGTTGTTACAGCATCGTTATTCCCCAAGTCTTACACTGTTGTAACAGCATCGTTATTCCTCAAGTCATACAGAACGATGTAGATTTTCATATAACTGATTGCTTCGTGCAAAGCATTTTTACCTTTTTCTAAATCATATTCCAGAAAGATGACAAAAAATTATACATTTTTATTATTTTATCTGATGTTTCGGTTTATGTTTTCTTTTCAAGGTCTTTGTATATCGCAGATTAAAAACTGGTTTCAAATAATAATAAACGAAAAGAATATAATAATCTATATAAATATAATAGTACTATCTGTTGTATGTTCATGTAACTATTTCGCAAGGTGTGGATGGATCGTCACCAAAATTGGTATGGAGGGTCATTAGGTCCATGTGGAGATACATGCAAATTTTCAGTTTTGTATTTTGTGTTTTGCGGATTTTGTGGACGTTTTTTACCACTACTTCGCCTCCAGTTGATGGATTTCACCAAATTTGGCATAAAGGTTTGTTGGGTCAATGTGGAGATACATGCAAATTTGTGTTTACACATTTTGTGTTTTGCAGTTTTTATGGGCGTTTTTTACAATGACATATAAGGGAAGCAAATCTTAATGTCCTAATATAACCTTTCATTAATCATGAATTGATATAACTTCCGTCCAAGGGGAAGGGTACTATAGTTGGTACAATAATATAATAGAATGGTGCACGTTGAAGCGTGTTAAAAATGTTGTTAGACGAATCAGAGTGGCTGATTACAATAATAAATGTAAATAATTAAATATACAAAAACGTTACATTAAAATTATATTTTTACATGTTTGTACTTGTTACTAGAAAGGACTTAGGTTCCTCAAACTTCTAGCTAGAAATGTTATCACAAATCTCTAAAATTCTGATTCATGTTGTCTCGTTAATTATACCGTGTGCATTGATACAATGTTCGGCGGAGGCTTCTTTGTTGGCACGAATGTGTTCTTTGAAACGATCATGTAATGGACGATTGGTTTCACCCACATATGTGGCTGAACACTGTGTACATGTCATATCATAGACGGTGTTCCTATAAGAGCAGGATTTCTCTAAGCAAAGTATTTTTGGATTTGCGTGGACTGTTGTAACTGAAGGTTGAACGAGAGTAGTTACATTGATTGTTAGGCATCAAAAGCATTCTGTCTCAGTGGGGGGGGGGGGGGGGGTCGGCTAGGTGAGTTGAAATTAAAGGATGTCACCTGAGAGTTACATAACTAATACATAATATGTTGATACCTGAAGCTAACATAACTATGACGTAATACATATACTGTAACTATATAACACAAGGCAGTGACTGTAACTATATGAACACAGAACATTGACTTAACTATATCAACACAGAACATTGACTATAACTATATCAACACAATGCAGTGAATGTAACTATATCAACACAGAACATTGACTGTAACTATATCAAAACAGAACACTGACTGTAACTATATCAACACAGAATATTGACTTAACTATGTCAACACAGAACATTGACTGCAATTATATCAACACAGAACACTCACTCTAACTATATTTACACAGAACACTGACTTAACTATATCGAATCAGAACATTGACTGTAACAATATCAACACATAACACTGACTGTAACTAAAT